CACATAGGTTTACTTGTACTTCATTGTAATCTACTAAGAAAGCTTATTTCTCTTTAAAATAATATTTCACAAATTTTAGGCGCGTTTCTCAATTCCTCCTGATTTTCATTGAAATTTAAAAACATGTGATATTTCAGAGATTTTACTAATTTTTCGCACAAAGTAGTGCTCAAGAGCCACTCAAAGTAGAGCATTGCTAAATTATGTTACATGAATGTAGAATGAGAAGGTAAGAAAAGCAGTTCATAAGTATGTGTATGATAGAAAGCTTTTGACCCTAGACTTGAAGACATTAAACTTGTATTGATTGAAAAATCATCCTCGCTGTAATCTGTTCAGCGATTAATGGTAGGAAGTTATCGGATTCTTACAAATGAATCACGAATGATGTGAGGATAATGCGTTCCAGTGTACTTGGCATGATAAGTCTTAACTGTGATGGTCAGTGGAATCAAACTAATATAGCTCACCAGAACATTAGCTATGGAAATAGCGATGGAGTAAATTTAGACTAGCAATGTTTCGTCTGTGGGAAGGGAGTTGTAGTAAGAAAAATACATCCTCATACCCTGGAGACGCTTTTGAAGTCTTTCAAGGTTGTAAAGCGAGTATTGAACAATGAAGTTGCCCACCTATGGCAGCAAAAGTTATTTCTGGGACTATACAGGCAGCTGACAATTTTTCCAGAATCATTACGGTGAGTAGTATGTATATATGAGGTCCACTCAAGGTGTAAGGCAGGACTGAGGCTAGGTTCTAGCCCCACTCCCGAAACTTTTATACGGGCCCCACTCTCTACTACATGTCGATTTCAAAGTTACCCAACCTGGGTGACACAAATCCTCAAAAGAAAATTGCGAGGGAAGTGCAGCGCATTTGTGAATTACCGAAAATCAGAGAGTAATTTAAATGAAAATTTCAGAACATATTAATTATTTACTTTTAATTATTTATTTCTATAATAAATATTTTTTTTATTTAAAAAATCTGAGAAAAGGCTATTCTTTTTGTAATAACCACAAATATTTTCATGACGAAATTTTACTGAAATTCTCTCTTCAGCCCCCTCGACGCCATAGTAGGATGGAGGACCCCATACGATTGAGAGCTTCGGGGTAGTAAGCAACGGACCTTTCGATTATTATAGTTGATGATTGACAATATAACTTAGGTATTAAAAATTAAAAGAAGAATTAAAAAGAAAGAAAGAAAAAAAAACAAGCTGCTGAATCTAGCCCCCTTTTTGGGCCCCAACAACGTAGAGTGTTCCTGCGTAGTACACACCCCACCTGTCATGAAGATACACAATGTATATTATTAGTTGATGACTGGCAATATAACGTCGTTTCAAAAATAATTAAAATAATGCCTGATGGCCATAAAACAGTGCTAACAAAAATGGCAAAAGCCACAATGGGGCACTAAAATACGCGACACCGGTCCGGGGTTTCGGGTATAATACGCGTCGGTCTTGGTCTGAGATGAACTTGCGTCTAAATAGGCTTTCAAGAAGAAGATGATGATGATGATGATGATGATGATGATGATGATGATGATGATGATATAAAAAAAACTTTTCTATGAGACACTATGTCACTATGATATGCAAAAATTGAAGTTCACCGTGATGATGAAATTCTGCACCACGATTAGCTCTAAGCTTTATACGTTATATTTGTTGTTAATTCCTAGGATAAAAAGACAGCAACATTTTTAAACATTTCGTTTTTCATTTTTTATTTTATTTTTACTTTTTTTGACTTTTTACTAATTTTGTTTTTTACTTTGTTCACTTTTTATTTTTTTTTTACAATTTACTTTTATTTTTTTTTTAAATTTTGCTTTTAATTTTTATTCTAAAACATTTAAATCACTTTGAACATTTAAACATTTAAAACATTTTATAAAGTTTTAAAATATTTTTTTAAGTTTTATTTATTTGTTACATTTTATCATTTTTTATTTGTATTTAATTATTTATTTATTTTGCCTTGTTATCATTTTTATCATTTTTAACAATTTAAACCTTTAAAACATTAAACATTTTTTGAGACATTTTTTCAAATTCCATAGAACATTTTGAGACATTTTTGAACATTTTTAGACATTTTTAAAAATGTTTTGAAGTATTTTTTCAAACATGTTTCAAACATGTTTTCAAACATCTTTGAAATCATTTTAAACATTTAAACCTTTAAAACATTTAAACGTTTAAATCATTTTGATGTTAAAAAGTTTTAAAACATTTAAAATGTTTTGAAACATGTTTGGTTTCAAATTCCGTAGGACAAAAAAGCAACGTGCATAGTTGAGTTAATGACTTAGTGAAAATTGTTCTTTTATTTTCGGTTAGTGATAACTGGACAAAATAAATAAAAAATGTCGACAACGCAGCGAACATGTGACATATTCACCATACATATATCAGTGAAAGTACCTGGCCCTTATTTTGTGTCTGTTTTTTTTAATCTATGTTAAATTTACCATGTTAAAACTGGACACTCAAATCAAACGTCAATCACTCCGATTCAGAGCCAATCGCATAAATATCGCCTAAAATGGATTCTTACATTGTACACCGATTATCATCTTCTGAGCCAAGCCAATCGCTTTCCTTATAACATCAACTTGTCTGGAAAATTAAAACTTATATAATATATACAGGATGGTCCGAAAGTGTTTTCACTCTCTACCAAAAAGTAATGAAAACTCTAGTACAAGTAATAACGTAATACAAAGCACATGTACTGGATTCAGTTTATTCGTTTTCATTGACGCTGTTACATATCAAGAAGGTCTGTATGAACATCCATCATTTTTCTGGCACAAAAATAATGCGGCGCCATGTCCTGTGTGATATTTTACGAAACTATGCTTTGTTGATTACTGCAAAGACTCTCCGAGCAGCGTTCTTCTACTGATGGGTACTGATGGTATCGTTCACTTGAAACTCTCTCCTTGATAATGCCCCACATATATGTAACGGGGACAAGACCGCGGGTGTACCCTGTATATATAATATATACCGGATTCTAATGCAGTACAGTGCTCACCCAGTATACAGTCAATAAATTTCGCTTCTCTTTTAAATTTTGCTTACCGTAAATAAACGAGCATAGTGTGAGATTTTATGATCAATGCAATCATTAGTGGAAGGGGTCACACTAAACACAAATAATTATTTTGAAGAGGTAAAACTAAATACATTTTTGGAGACTGGTCTCACTATACGCAAGTAAATCTTTTTGGAGAAAGTGGTTAACATTCATGCCAAAAAAAGAAATCAGAGGTCGCAGAAAAGAGAGTGTCTCCAAAGTCTTGTCACCCCTCCCCCAAACATAATCTAATGAGAACAGAAAAACAAGTAATACTGTAATACAAATAACATGTTCTGTATTCAGTTTATTCTGACAGTGATGTTCATACACTTGTAAGCAGCCTCTCTTCCATACTGGAGGAGCTTGTGTCAGCCATCTGAATTAGAAAATTATACTATGGAAGGGTGACAAGATCTTCGATCACCCTGTAGATGAAATCGGCTTATGCACAAGTATATATGGTACAAACGAATCCTAGATAGTCGAAACAGTTCAAACTAGTTGCTTTGTCTGTTCACAGCCAATAAACACGCTTTTTTATAAACGTTACATATTGTATATACGCGCGTCAAGTGTGAGTTCCTATGAAGATTTTTTGACGCAAAGATTAGTGGGAGCGGACTAGACACAGGAAATGTTTTGAAGAAGTAAAAATCCAAAAAGTTTACGGTGACTAGTTGCACTGTATAACAGGTAAATCTTTTTCTGGATGGGTTAAATTTCATGGAAAAGAATTTTAAGAGTCGCGCTGTACATGAAGTCGATTTATAGACAAGTATACACTGTACAATCTTTTTTTTTTTTCTTTTGGCGGGATTAAAATTTCAGGGGCTGCGCTATACATGAAGTCGTCTTATGCACGAGTACATACGGGAAATCTTTTTATCTGGAGGGATTAATATTCATGGAAAAGAATTTCAGAGGTCACCCTATATCTGAAGTCGACTTATGCACAAGAACATATGTTACAACCTTTTTTTTTTTTCTGAAGAGAATAAAATTCATGGCAATAATTTCAGAGAGTTTCCTTTACATGAAGTCGTCTTATTCACGAGTACATACGGACAATCTTTGTTTCCGGAGGGATTAAAATTCATGCAAAAAATTCAATGATCGCAATATACATGAAGTGAGTACACGCGATACAATGATTTTTTTTTTCTGGGGAGGGGTTTTAAAATTCATCTAAAAATTTCAATGTTCGCATTATAGATGAAAGCAGCCTAATGCCTGTACATACAATCCGTCCTTTCTTTCCTCGAGGGGGCTAAAATTCAGGCAAAAAGTTTAGTGGTCTCATTACACATAAATATACCTATGTACGTGTACATACGGTACAATCTTTTTTTTTTTTCTTTTTGGGTAAAAATTCATGCAAAACTTTCAGCGGTCGCACGATACATGAAGTTGACTTATGCACGAGTACATGCGGTAAGATTCATAAAAAGAACCAATTCTTTATATTGTTGTAATGACAAACGTAAGTAGGTATAGGCATTAAGAAAGCTTCATTCAACTGAGAATACACGGTTTGCGCATAGTGTCCTTTTACAGTCCCAGTAAACAGAAACGGCTCTCCCAAAGAGGAGAGTAACAAAACAAAGGGAGACCAGATTTTATTATTCATAAAAATTGTTATATAATTGTTTATATAATTTCTTTCTTAAAGTTTGCCGATTTTTTAACTAACCTAACCACATGAATATAAATACAGTTGTAAATATTTTGGGAATAAACGGTGCTGTAAAAGAATTCTTTATACACAATGTAAACCTTGTTTCGAAAAGGTTCTGAAACCACTGTTATATGTTAATATTTTTTATGGTTTCTTTTACATCCTTGTCGTTATTACTTTTGGTATTTTCTGCTTTCAGCTGCGGCTTCAGCGCCAATTCCATGACGATGCTTTCGGTACTTGAGATTTACGAGAGCTTACCCTCATGGCCGTTCCTCATGCTCTTCATCCTCTACATCTGCGTCGCTGTTACGGGCAACCTGGCTGTCATCATAGTGGTGGCCTCCCGCAAGTATATGCGCACACCGGCCAATCTCTATATATCATCACTCTCATTCGCCGACCTCATCATCGCGCTGGTTGTTATTGGCAACACAGCTAAAAGTTTCAGCAAGATCTACCTCGAGTACAATATATATCGCTGCGTCTTGGTCCCTTATTTCGAAGTTGTGGCCATCTCAGCCAGCGTCCTCTCTCTGATGGCCATCACCGTTGACCGTTACCAGGCCGTGCTCCACAAGCGTGTGCACAAGACGCCGTTGAAGTTTGCAGCAAAAATCGTCAGTATGGTTTGGTTGTCGGCAGTTATCTACGGCCTGCGTGTCATACCTCAGTTTTACGGGAAACTAAAACCCTCTGACGATATCGACAGTCAGAATTCGTCCAGCACAGACAGAAATGATTTTCGATTTGACTCTTCTGCGAACACCACCGGAATTCACCGTTGGTCATGCGATTTCTTCATGGAAGAAGACGATAATGACATCGTGTTTCGGATCTTCGATTTCCTCATCTTGTTCGTGGTGCCGTTCATCGCTATGATTGTCATGTACGGACGTATTATATCGACGCTTTGGCGTAAAAAGATTCCGGTCGGCACCGGCCTTCGCCGGAAGAGGCGCGTTGCTAAGATGCTGCTCATCAGTGTGTTAGTTTTCATCATCTGCTGGGTCCCGTTCTACGTGCAGGAATTCGTCGGCGATGGTATGATTATCACGGGCAAGCACGTTGACCGCAACGTGCTGGCCGCCTTTCGGATCATCTTTATCCTTCTATCTTTCTCCAATTGCTGCTTGAATCCAGTTATTTATGCCTATTTCAATTGCAACTTCCGCTACGAACTGAAATACATGATTAGACAAAAGAACCGTGACCAGCGTATGAGGCACAAACACACGTTTCAAGTAACGCCTACCAGCAGCCGAAATGGAATTTAGGGGACCAAATTCCGTAGGTGGCGCTGATTTGTTAAATAAGAAAATCACTATATAAATGAATTAATTAAAATAAAATTTCAAAACAAAAAATATCAAAAAGATAAAAAAAAAAAAAGAATGAATTCAAAACAGAATTTTTTAAGTTATTTTCGTAAGAATGCTGCATGTATAAATGTTTCGTTATATTTTCTGTCAAGTATATTCTATATGTATGTATGGCTTGGAAGATTAATTTTTCAGGCTCTAATTAAGTACCTTATTCTTGGAAATGGAATCAGAGAACAGAGTTCGATTTTAACGCTGGTCAGTTATGTCTATTTTGAATTGTCCGTTTGTAGGGGAGACTTTGTGAATTACAGATACAATAATAGTTAAGCTTCGAACAATTTTCGATCAGACGCCGCTAATTACTACATATATACTTTTCCTTTACCCGACACGTGATCTAACTATTTCAAGTTGGTGTCAACTGTGCCTGGCGATCCGTGTTCAAATTCAAGTGTCGGTAGCGACATTTTATTTCTATATGACAGTTTACTTTCGCATAAACACTATTGATAAATACCTGAATCCATTTCTTTTTCCCACGAAAATAACAAGGTAGACTGTGCTCCCTAGCTTTTAGTGGTAACCATTCTAGGAGTTTGAGGCTTACGGCCACGTTAGGCTAAAACACCGCTTCCCTTATGATCCCCGACCTTAAGCAACGTCGGGCTTGATCAGTTCCTAGATGGCTGACAGCTTGGGTACCAAGCTCTGTAATCGTGGTTGTACAGGTGGTGCAGTGGATAATAATTCGGAATTGTTAATCGGAGAGCCGAGTTCTAATTCCTGTTTTGTTTGTTATATTCACTTACAAATACCCATGTGAAAGGCATGAATCTACCTCTTTCCAACCAGCTTAGACTTGTATCCTTAAACCATTATTATATTCCAAAACATCTTGCAATCTGAAAATATTTTTCTGACGTTAAATAACTTGCAAAAGGCCGTAAAAAACGAATCACTTAACCAATCCGTCTAAGAGTATGGCTAATATAAATATGGAATCGTAGAGAAGGCAAAAGAAAATCAATTCAATTTCTTTCCCAGTAAGTCGAGACTAATCAAAGATAATAAAGAAAAGGAAGCTGTGGAGAGTCACGATCGTCTATGTCATCAAGGAGCAGCGTAGAATTAAAAAAAATCAACAGCAATAATTAACAATGAACTAATACACAAAACTAAGACTAAAACAATTTGCTTTAATAAAATATGGCCGGCAGAAAATTGGTTTAAACTGACGGACTTAGCAACTAAAGCATCAGAATTCATTTCTAGTTTTATTAAGACGAGAAAGTTCACCTATTCATTTCCAAAGAAGGAATGGCAATCCATATATATTTAAAATAAAGGGAAACTGTGGATACCATGAATGCCTATGTCTGGTTGGAAAATAACCTTTAAAAATTCTACATTAAGAATTTATTTATATTTCTGTTGCTTTCTCTCTTTTGATAAATAAATTGAGTGAGGATATTTTCGACCGACGTATGAGTGGAATGAGATAAATAACTAATGACAGCGGAAATTTTGGTGAGAACCAAAAGAAAATATTAAACATGTGTTAAATATATTTTACAATAAATTCTATCCCTACTATATGTAGATGAAATATATAATATTTCAATTCAGTATATCTATACATATACATTGATATATCAAAATAAAAAGAAAGAACAGTCAAATTTATATTTCAGAGTTCGTTTACATTTATTTTTAAACACAGTGGTCAATCCACAGTAGAGAATAATATTATAATTATTTAAAAAAAAAATATCTATTCATCGCGATACAGAAATTACTATGTTCCAAAACCAAAACCTTATTCTTAAATTAAACTTAAAATTTAAAGATCAGTTTCATTTTCAAGAGATGTTCGTAGGCTATTCTGCATCTCTTGAAAATGGAATTGAACTTCAAATTTGAAGTTTAAGATTTAAGTTTTGGTTTCGAAACAGTGATTTCTGTGTCGCGATGAAAACATGTTTTTAAAAAAATAATTATTTAATTTATATATATTAAGAAATGGACAAGGTCCGACAATTTATTTATTAAAGACATTTTTTTATGTTTAACGTTGTTATTTATAGATACAAGTATTTAAGCAAATGCTCTGTTTATGATAAACAGTATTAAATAACATTTACCGGCCTGAATGTCCGAGAAATTTTTATAGAAAATATTCGTTCTTTGACAGGATTCGAACCTGCATCCTATACGGAACCGTCATTTACGGTGACGTGCCTTACCTCTGGGCCACAAATAAATACTTAAATACTTGTATCATAAATAAATACGTTAAACATAAAAAATGTCTTTAATAAATAAATTGTCATTGTCCATTTGTTTACATTTGATACGCCAGAGCAGTTATGAATGTACGAGATTCATGGAAGATTGAAGTTTATAAGCAGTAAATTCGACATTGTCTACCGAAAGGTTCTTTGTGGCCCAGAGGTAAGGCACGTCAGCGTAAATGACGGTTCCGTATAGGATGCAGGTTCGAATCCTGTCAAAGAACGAATATTTTCTATGAAAATTCCTCGGACATTCAGGCCGGTAAATGTTATTTAATACCGTTTATCATAAACAGAGCATTTGCTTAAATACTTGTATCTATAAATAACAACGTTAAACATAAAAAATGTCTTTAATAAATATATATATATATATATGTCCGGTGCTGTATGTCAGTAAAACACCTCCGCTTTATATACTATGCCAAGGGCAGGTAACTCTGTCCCAGCTTCTTTCGCAGGGGTAGATAACTCTGTTCTCATCCACACACACACATATATATATGGGTAGTAGAACAAACCAGTACCCAAGGAAAAATGAGGAATAAAAAAAAGAAAGAACCAAAAACATGAAAGTGAGGCGAAAACAACGTCCAGAATTCAGGCTCAGAGTCCTAACATCCAAAAAAAAACATCCAAAACGAGTAAAGGCAACTACGTAAAATGCTTAATACACGAAGTAGAGCAAACCTAAGATAAACCTGATGAGCCAGGCAAACCTACCTGAAGATGATATGAAATGAGGAGGGAAGCGTATGAATTCCAATAGCAAACAAATATAACAAAATTTAAAACAGAAAATAACAGATGTTAGTAGGACACTTCCACCCCACGAAAACAGGATCAGAGAGAATCAAGAAGCTAACTCTGTAACGGAAAGGAATGGGTAGGGTAAAGTAAATCTGGGTGTGGGAACATCAAAGACTGAACGAGTCGAGATGAAAACGAGGCCAAAAACAAATTGGCGAGTTTGGGAATCTCAACTTGGTTCATAACAGAATTAAAGATCCGGTAACAGGCCGGGAACGACATTCACTCACATTAACGAGGCTCACAAAAGAGAGTCTAATTTAGCCAGTGCAGAGTTCACAGAAAACCGCTCTGTTGTGGCGAAGAGGACTTCAAAAATGAACTCAATGACCACCCCTTTTACACGAACAAATCTTGCTACTTTCACTCACGTTGTAATCTGTCGGCAGTAAACGCTTTCTGTCGGTTCTGATCTTCACTTTCAGCTGATGCTGAACGAATCCGATCAGGGCCTGATGGGAATTGTGTTCCTACCGCAAGATTCCGTCCTTTCACGAATGTAACTATCGGAACCTCGACGGATATCTTCCTTGCGCAATGGTGTGCCCATTTTCACGGCTTCGTTAGATATATTTGTTAACCTATGTCTAACTGCCAGACCCTGGTAGCGCTCGCTAGCCTGGCGCTAAGAGCCTGCTTAGCTAAAACGCCCCCAGACTCCGCCAGACAGCCTCCGACCCCAGCCTCCGACTATATTGAACTATCTTCATGATTTTAGCCTTATCTAGGGCGAGCCGCTGGCAGTATTTGGTGGTGAAGGACCTAATCCTATCCTATACCTCACAACCTATTGCCAATAACCATTTTATTAATTCCCGCTGTACTAGACTTATTACCTGTTACTGGAAATCCTGCCTGTCCAGTAAAGACAGATTCATCTTTCAGTGTCCAGCCATTCTACAGATTTCATCTAACGCTATCCGGGCACAGCTGAATCTATGGACCGAATTGCATAACCAGTGGAACGTGAGCAATAAAGCAAGTCTATATCGGCCATTCTCACTAGCATTTTATCCAGGTAGCTGCCTTACCTGGATAGAGGGCCACTTATAAATTCACGTCTACATCTCCTGCCCAGGGTTATCGACCCGGTATTTATCGACGAGACCAAACTCGCCGATCAGATCACCCAGGCTACGATCACCCAATGACCTCCCGCTATCTCCCCACTCTCTGTCTTGGGGTCCAGAATGGCATTCCAGTCCCCCACTAATACTAAGCGCGAAGAATCAATCAGGAACGGCCTCAACTGCCGGAAAAACGAGACACGCTTCCCCTGATCGTTGGGCGCATAAACCGCAACGACATGAACTACCGTTCACAGTAATATCGACCCCGATCAACCATACCCCCCCATCCCGCATCATCATGGACAATGTCCACCTTCGCATCCGCAGTAGGTTTAACCAACAAGGAAACACCTCTGGCCGGTTGGTCCACTTTATGCTGCATAGACAACAAGGTCGTTAGACAGCACGTGAGCATCAACCTTGCAAACAAAGTGCGTTTCCTGGATTGCAGCTACATCTACGCCGAAGGACAGATTACGAAACAGATGGGCCACTATACCCCGATACTCAAGCATTCAAACTAGTTATCTTGAGAGACATTTTTCAAGTTGATTCCCCTTAGTCACCGATTGGATGGAAATCTGCGAATGAAAGGACCCCGACGGATTCTCCCAGGCTCTGTGTCCCTATCTCGGACGTCTGAGGGATAGCTCAGTTTTAAGGCCCTATATAATGAAGGATGTAGTATTACTGGGATCCTTTCCAAAAAATATTTTTATAGTTTTTTCAAGTGCTGAGTTCCATTTCTACCACACGGATCTCTGGAAAGGCATCATTTGCT